GCAAGTCGGGGATACCATCCTAATAAGCAGTACCGTGGTATCTTAGTACATATTTGCTTTGAGAACAGTTCTCATTCAGCAACAAAACAAATTTCAAACCTCTAAAACATAACTTCAGTTTTTTTTTCTCAAAATAAATAACTTAGTGTTTTCTCAAAATATTCATGAAAGTTTGGAATACTCTAGCTGATCAAATCTTAAACATCATATAGTAAGAATAAAAGAAAGCAATTTAAGATGGAAGATGAGTATTTTAAAAATGTAATTACTGAAATAACTTTCTGTGGAAAAAACTCAGCATATATAGGAGATTGGAGTTTAATATTTTCATAGGCCCATACTGTTTAAACCATTTGCAAATTATTCTTTTATTAGTCTCTATAATCTGAGTGTTTTGTTCTGCTGACTTTTAAATGTCTTAACCTTCAAAAATGTTCTTAAAAGAAACAAAGGAGAATTAGTAAGCTAGCAAGCAGTCTGTATGTGTACCAGTCCTTCATGAGTGAGCCAACCAAATCACGAGTTAGTTACGAATTTAACAGGGACCATTAGAATATTCCACTTATTTCCTGGCCATTTTCAGCAGTCCTGTGCATTGAGCCAAAGTAAAATTTTGTAGCATTAGTTAGTACAGAAACTTTTAAGAATCATGTTTGTTATTACTGCCCAATTGCATTATCCTCCCATCCTTTTTCCATTTCTACCATATGCTCACTTCAATTCTGGCCTTATTTCTATGCCCTTTATTGTTGCCCTCATCTAAAAGTACCTAAAGTTTATATTGAAAGTGGAAATAGCAGTATAAATAACTTTAATGGAGCTTATGATGGGTGCTTCAAAATATGTGTTACACCATTTTACAAGTTTTGATGAAGGCCACGTAAGTTTTCTAAGACCACTTTAATTTTCCTCTCTTGGAGATCTAACTTCTTGACTTATCCAATATTTATAAAATATAAGCCCAATACAAGTCCCATATATTATCTCTGCTATTCTCCAGTATGAATAGTGATGCGTTGCTCACTTTAGAAAGATCAAGAAGGCACTGATTTTATTTTATCCTCAGTGTTTTTTCTTTCCCTTAAATATTCTAGTCCCAAAATTCAGTTCCTTTAATCAAGATTTTTTTTACAAGCTTAAAAGTAAAATTTGAGACACTACCATAGGCAGAGGAGTTGTGTTCACTTTATTGAAATTAATTAAATGTTTACTAACATATATTTCAGTGCAGGCACAAGCATTTAAAGCTGCTTATAGCTTGCCATTGGCAGCATTCTGATAGGCTTGTCAGTGTTAAACAGCTTATTTGGTTTTTGCTTTCTGATGCCTTTTAAAGTCTAATTTTAGGATAGATATATTCAGATGTGTTCTACAGCGTATTTTGCTAAATGTTCTTATTTGTAGATTGTTGTTTTTGAGGAATGCCCAACTGATGTGACAAAACTTTTATTGTCTTACCATAAAGCCTTGATGATCAACAGGGATATTGTAAAGCTTTTTGTGAACTTAAAAAAATACAAAATAAAGCAACCAAGTTTAAATAATTAGGTTGTCTTTCTCTCATCTATTTTACCAGCCTCAAAAGTTTTTGCTTGTTACTGTCTGCAGTATTTCTTCTTACTGTTCAGTTCATTGCTTAGCAGCAAGATAGAGGAAGTAGAGTAATTTCATGACTAAAGGAGCTTTGGTGTCTGAGAAGATTATGCCTGCTACAATAATATGCAGTAAATATGTAATTGAATCTGAATTTCAAAGAACTGTAAGATTAAAATCCTACATCTAGGAAGTGGCGCTGTAGCTCAATTGGTAGAGCGCTCGCCTTGAGCTGAAGAGCTGAGGGACAGCACCCAGGCCCAGAGTTCAAGCCCCACGACCGACAAAAAAAAATATAAAATAAAATCCTACATCTATATAGTAATAACTGGTGGCAAGGAACCTTGTTATCTTTTGACTCCAATTTTTTTTTAATACTAAGTAGTTATACAAAGGGGTTACAAGTTCATAAATCAAGTTAAAAGTAGAGTGCTTCTTGGTCAATGTCATTCCCTTTGTTGTGCTCCCTTATTTTCTACCCCCATCTCTATCCTCAAGTTACATAGTTCAATTTTTAAATTATATATTGAATTTAATGACTATACTTGCTTACCCTTCCTCCTCCTATTCATGTGTCCCTCCCTTGGTTCTCTCCCTCAAAGCATGTTTACATCCTGGTATTTTTTTGATAACAGTACATTAGCTGTTCAGAGAAATACCTTCAGATTCCTCCCCTAAGTATATCACCCATTGGTAAGTTTGTGTGTAAATATATTGAGCCCTATATATGTTATCATTCACATTGTATATTAGATCTAGCTTCCACACATGAGAGAAAACGTGTGCTGTCTTTTTGAGCCTGGCTTATCACTTAACATTTGTTCTAGGTCCATCCATTTTCCTGTAAATGACATATTATTCTTCCTAATGCATGAGTAAAATTCCATTGTGTGTAAGCACCAGATTTTCTTGATCCACTCATCTGTTGTAGGGTTTTGGGGCTATTTCCATAACTTGGCTATTGAGAATAGTGTGACAATGAACATGGATGTGCAAGTGTCTTTACCATATCTTGACTTAGAGTGTTCTAGGTAGATGCCCAGAGTGGTATGGCTGGATCATAGGGTAGTTCTATGTTTAGTAGTTTGTTAAGGAATTTCCACTCTGCCTTCCAGAGTAGCTGTACTAGTTTACATTCCCACCATCAGTGTAATAGGATTTCTTTTTCCTCACTTCCCCACCAGCATTTGTCATTGTTTGAATTCTCCATGTTGGTCAGTCTTACTGGGAGATGGAAACTCAGTGTTGTTTTGATTTGCATTTCCTTTATGGTCAAGTGACCCCAGTTCTTAACGCAGTTGGGAATGTTGTTGGTACTCAGACTTGTCCACTTAACAGCAGCTCCTAACAAATAACTCAGGATCTTGAAGGAACAGGATTCAGGTACAGAAGTTTTCAAAATCTATAATAGAGAATTGTATAGGAAAGGTATAGATCTATGTGGCTGTTAGTTTTCATTGCTCTGAGAAATTCTGAGGAAAAAAAATAAAAAACTTAGAGAACTAGATGCCTGTGTCTTGTGTTTGTAGTCCTAGGTACTTGGAAGTTGAGATTGGGAGGATCTTGGTTTCAGGCCAGTCTGGCATAAAAGTGTGAGACTCCCCTCTTCACAGAAGAAAGCCAGAGACAGGCTCATACACCTGTGATCCCAGCAACTGTAGGAAGCCTAAACTTAGCTTGTTTCAGTTTGTAATCACGTGACTGGGGGCCAGCAGTGAGGCAGAGCATGGTGGCAGAACGAAGTTCTGATTTCATGAAAGCCAGGAAGTAGAGAAAATCCTTGGGTTCCCCTTTTATTCCATCTGGCTCCAAGTCTATTAGAGCAGTATTATCCACATAGGGGAGTTAATTCTGTCTGGAAACATCCTCACAAACACATCCAGAATGTGTTTTTCTAATCTCCTTAGATGCTTCTCAGTCCAATTATGTTGACAATCAAGATTATAGACTACTGGGATCCAGGCTACTTGGGCTGCAGAGATCAAAAGGCTCTTGGTCTTGGTTCTAGGCTAACCCCAGTAGTAAGTTAGGGAGACCCCTTCTCAATAAGCTGAATGTGGTGATACTGTGCATCTGTGACCCTAGCTACCTGGAAGGAATAACAGGAGGATAGGCTAGTCCAAGTAGAAGTTCCAGATTGAAAAATAAAGCAAAAAAGGGCTAGAGGATGTGGCTTAAGTGGTAGAGCCAGTTGCCTAGGAAGATGGAGCACTGATTTCAAACTTCAGGAGTTCACCTCCCAGGCCTCTGCATTCCCCCAAATAATAACCATCATAATGACTAAAGTTAGCTGGAAGAAGGTAGGGAATGAAAGTGGTGAAAGAAATAAAAATGTTGTGTTGGGATATAGCTTGGTGGCAAAGCGCTTGCCTTGTAAGTGCAACATCCTGGGTTCGATCCCCAGTGCCAAAAAAGAGAGACCAAATATAACAAAACCAAACCAGAAATAAATTATTTTCAAAATATAAAGGGTTCTTGATCTGAAGATAATCAAAGTACATGGGGGAGTTCTGCCTTTTCTTAGTTTACCTAAAAATCAGGCAGAGATTCACAAAGCAAACAATTGTCAAAGTCGTGTGCTGGTGCCTCACACCTGCAAATCCTAGGTTACTCAGAAGGCTGAGATTTGAGGCTCGGGTTTAAAGTCAGTTCGGGCAACAAAGTCTGTGACACTCCCATCTCCAGTTGACCCCAAAAAGCTGGAAGTGGAGCTGTGGCTCAAGTGGCACAGAGCACTAGCTTTTAGCACAAAAGCTCAGAGATCATTCTCAAGCCCTGAGTTCAAGCCCCAAGACTAGCACAAAATCAAAAAGAAAAGGTCTGTCCAGCCTGTCCCTTCTCCTCCTCTGACTTTTTCTGACTTTAGACCTGAAGCTTGCCTGTCAGCTCTAAGCTGGCCCTTTGAAGCAGACCTTCTTTAAATGTGTCTTCCCACCATTTCCCTACTTTTGAAGCCTACAGAGTTTCCATTGTCACTTCTCTAATATTTATTTTTCTTTGTTAAATAAAATTAAGACAGACTCATGCCACCATTGTGAGTAGTGTTTTTTTCCTCATATGGTATGCAGTAAACAATAATAAACTTGATTATTGCCTTTCGTTAATCTATCTTTTGTTGTAGGACTCTGTCCCAACTACAGATGTAGTTGAGCAATGATTATATTTTCTTCCCTGCAGCAGGAAAAGGTAGGTTGAGAGGTGAATATAAAGGATGTTGAATGTTCATTGCCTCACCCTTTGCTACTTAAGAATGACATTTGAAAATCTTCTCTATGCAGTGTTATTGCCAAGTGTTTATTCTTATCACCTTCATCCACTTCCTAGCCCTGAGCCAGCTTGA